TCCTTGAACACCCTCACCGATGGGGAACTGGAAGTGATTTATTTATTTATGCAAAATATTGCTATTCCTATCTTCAGCTTCTGTGCAGTCAGGGTACAAAGTGTAGACTTATAATTTAAAGACAGACTGCACTTAATTGCACTTCAGAGAAATATAAGTGTTGTGGGAGAGATCCGTTGCATTCCTGTGCCCACTTTCCTGGGAGTAAGCACCATGAACTCATCTGGAGAGCTTTGCCCCAGAGGTGGGATTAGGAGGTGACCCTTTAAGCCTGGAGCCCCAAATCATTCATTTGGGGCCTCAGATTTTCGGGATGCCACCTGCTCCACCATCCTGCACTCCATGGGACTGGCTGAAGCAAAGCCATGGGGGCCTTTATGATCTCTGTTGCACATGACCTGCCTGGCCTGGTTGGTGTTTTGCCTGCAGGTGCTTCACTGCCTGCCTCTTTGCAGGTTCTGATGCCCTTGGTGGAGGTGGCAGTGAGTTTCTGCGAGACCCCGTCTGACCTCCAGCCAAGGCAGCTGTGTGTGGAAGCTAAGCAGGGAGATGATCCTCTCCTTTGGGGTAAGTTGGTGCCTCAGTTCATTGGTGGCTCCATTGCAGGCCCAAGTGGAAGCGCCTGCAGGGGACGTGGTGCCCGTGAGCCCCGTGTTGGGGATCTCCTTGTCCATGGCCTGGTGGAAAGAAACTTTAGCACACATGGGCTGCGTAAGAATTGGTCCATTACATTTCATCCTTGCCCTCCTTTTTTGTTTGTTTGAATAGATTACAGACCGGAAGGTGAATGTGAAGATAACAAGTCTCAGCTGCAGGATTCTCAGCAAGCAAATCCACCTCGAAGAAGAATCAGTGAAAACTTGTCCCAGGGTCATGGGCAAGTGGGAGCCATGGAAGATGGATGCGAAGTCTGGAGGCAGCCCAGCAAACATAGTCCTAAGATCACCATGGGCAGACCAGTTTCCTTCGTGTCGGATGAGGAGGCCCTCAAAAAAACCCTTGAATGGCAGAGGATAAGTTCCCTCAGGAAGGTTTCAAGCAGGGCTCTGAGTCTGCTAAACAGCAGAGTTGATGTCCTGGAGGGGCCGCACCAGTGCGCAGAGTGTGGGAAAATCCTCAGTCGCAAGGACCACCTTAAGAGGCACCAGCAAAGCCACACAAGAAAGAAGAAGCCACACCAGTGTTCCTATTGTGGGAAGTGCTTCCGGCAGAGGTCAGACCTTATTTTTCATGAGAGAATCCACACGGGTGAGAAACCACACAAATGCTCTGTTTGTGGGAAGAACTTCAGAAGTACTTGTCAGCTAATAGTCCATGAAAGGATTCACACCAGGGAGAGAAACCTTATAAGTGCTTTGCCTGTGGCAAAAGCTTCAGCCAGAATGCAAACCTCACTGTGCATCTAAGAACTCACACAGGCGAAAAGCCATACAAGTGCTCTGTCTGTGAGAAAACCTTCATTCAAAAGTCACACCTTATGAAGCACGAGAGAATCCACACCAGAAAAAAAGACCTGCAATTGTTTAGCAAGGAAAGAGCTTCCACTGGAATGAGCGATTCCACATAAGACGCGGCAGGATGTGGAACTGCATTGCTGGAAGAAAGAGTTTAATTTCTAACATGCACCTTCTTTCTCACAAAAGAACCTGCACTGATTTTAAAAAAACCCTACTCTGCACACCATCAGTTGTGAGTTTCTCCTTATGTCATATCAAGGAACACACCTGGAGAAGAAGCAATAGCAATGTTCCAAGACTGGGAATAGGTGCAGTTCATGACAGGTCTTATAGATCATGAAGGGGACCATGCAGAAGAGAGGTTTCACCATTCAGTAGTAGAGGGACAGAGCTGGCATGGAAAAGATTCAACATCTACATGAAACCGCTGGGAGAGGTCATCAGGAGGTGTGGGCTGCGGAATCATCAGTACGCTGATGATACCCAGCTCTACCTCTCTTTTTCCACCAATCCAGGTGAGGCAGTGGCTGTACAGAACCAGTGCTTGGCCGAGGTAATGGGCTGGATGAGGGCCAATAAACTGAAGCTCAGTCCAGACAAGATGGAGGTCCTGCTGGTGGGTGGTTCGAACTTCTGGGTAGGTGTCTTGGATCTTGTCCTGAATGGGGTTGCACTCCCTCTAAAGGACAGGGTCCGCAGCTTGGGAGTGCTCCTCGACCTGGAGCTGACTTTGGAAGCTCAAGTGTCGGCGGTGGCGAGGAGCGCTTTCCATCAGCTTCGGCTAATCCATCAGCTGCGTCCCTACCTGGAGGACGACTGCCTAGCAACAGTGTCACATGCATTGGTTACTTCCTGGTTGGATTTCTGTAGCACACTCTACGTGGGGCTGCCCTTGAAGACAGTCCGGATACTTCAGATGGTGCAAAATAGAGCTGCCAGGTTGCTGACGGGGACTGGGCATTGTGCTCATATAACTCCAGTCCTCCATCAGCTTCACTGGCTCCCCATTGAACTCCAGGCCCAATTCAAGGTGCTGGTTATCACCTATAAAGCCCTTAACGGCTTGGGACCCAGATACCTGAAGGAACACCTGCGTCCATATTTGCCCACCCGCCCCTTGAGATCAGCAGTAGAGGCTCTCCTCCGGGAACCCTCTGTGAAAGCTATTAGGAGGCAAAGTACCCGGAGGAGGGCCTTCTCTGCGGTGGCGCCCCATCTGTGGAATGTGCTCCCCAGAGAGGTCCGCCTGGCGCCATCGTTATTTGTTTTTCGGCGCCAGGCCAAGACCTTTTTATTCAAACAGTATTTTAATAATGTTTAATATTTATATATTTTAATTGTGCAGCCAGTGTGTTTCCAGGTTTTCATTGTAATTGTAATTGTTTTATTTATTTCTGTGAGCCGTCCCGAGGCTATGTAGCAAGGGGACGGCATATAAAAACTTTAAATAAAGAAAGAAAGGAGAGGAGGAGAGGGAGAAAGAGGGAGGGAGGGGGAGATGAAGTGGGATGGGGCAGGGCCCCTGCTACATTGTGGGCCCGTCCCGTGGATGATGCTCATCCTATTGCTATATGAGCCCCCGCCACAAAAAAACCCAGGAAATATCTTCTGCAGGGCGGGCCCCTCGGAGTACAGGCGTCCCCTGCTAGGTGAGTGTTCTAGAAGCCCACCTGCATCACTGCACCCAGCTGGATTGTTGCGAGAAGCTGCGTTCAGCTTCTCTGAGGTTGTTTTGGAGACTCTTTCAACATGTTTGCCTGTTTCGTGATGGCTGATTTACACTGACAACGTGTGGTGGTGAAATTATGTTCAGCTGAGTGTTCCACATTTTTGACCAAAAATTGCACGGACCCATTTTGCTTGGAGGCTTGCATGCATCGCAGTCGACAACACGGGATTGTGCCTGTACATCTGTGACATCTATGATGGGGGAAAGAAAGGTGCATAAGCAGGCCATCCACCACATGGTTGGCATGAAGGGACTGTGCCTTTGGGGACTCGCGGAGAACTGGGATTGCAGCCCCCCTCCCCCCCCCGGCTGGAGTTTCTGCACCCTGACCTAAATGTGGGGAGAATCTGGAGGGAGAAAAGGAAGAAGTTTGCACAGTGCAGAGTTCAACTGGACCTCACTACCGTGGGGCGGAGTGTTGGTCACCCATTTGGGTGGCTTGAAAAAAGGATTAAATACATTTATGGAGGAGAAGGCTGCCTGTTTCTTCCAGCGTTTGAGGCAGTCTATCTCTGCAGACCAGTTGCTGAGGAATGTCAATGCAAGGGTGCAATTTCTTTGATATGCCGTGATATGTTCAATGTATTTTATTGTGTTGTAAGCCGCCCCGAGGCTTCGGCAAGGGGCGGCATAGAAATGTTATAATAAAAATAATAATAAATATGTTTGTAGAAGAAAATCTTATTGAGCAAGGGAAATTCACATCCAAGGAAACATGTTTAGGCTCGTATGGTGTAAAGCTACAGTTGTATATACATTTCCCTGGAAATAAGTCCTATGGAAATCAATGGCACTTACATGTGAGCAGATACTGAAAATTGCATTGTAGTGTACGCAGCATTCCAAGAGATAGGCCAAAATGCCTGTTGTTATTGTTACATTATATTTATACCCCACCTTTCTTGCTCTTCCAAGGAACCCAAAGTGACTTACACTTCTTTTTATCTCCACAACAACATTGTGAGGTAGGTGAGTCTGTGACTGTTTCATGCCCGACTATGTACACAACTGAATCCAGAAAATGCATCAAAACTGACAGAAGTCGAAGACACCAATGGAAATGGATGAGAAAAAACCAGGAGGCTTGTCTTCACTAAGCTTGCATATTTTTAAATTATACTTCTGTTTTCCAAAACACATTTAAAATATTCATCCAAAGGATTCTATATGGTTGTATAAAAAGTATCCATAAAGTTATTCAGGTAAACATGTATGCTATAAAAAACAATCCATAAAAGAATGCCACAATAAATTCAGAATAAAAAGTCAGCCTACTACAGATCTACAAAGAAACAACACATAGAAACAGAGCGAGTCAGAAGGGGTCTCCTGGGGTATCAAGCCTGACCCCTGGCTCTAGCCGGCTCCGCTCTGTCTACCATGTGCGTGTCTACAAGCACCAATGAGTTCAGTGGGATTTACTCCCAGGTAAGTGAGTTGTCTGCAGCCTCCTGCGTAGAAACGCATTACAATTGCAATAAAATACCTTAAAAATGCAAATTTCCCCCCAAGGTAACTGGGCAAACAAAAAGACATTTGCTGCGTCATATTAAAACGTCAAATGTGAACCTCTTTCAATATTTCGTGCTTACTTGTGTATTTCTTTAATTCTTCCCTTAAGGGCTGCGCTTTGGCGCCTGAACTACAATTCCCAGGAATCTTTGCGAGAACAAATTAAGTAACCAGATGTTAGCCAAAGAGATGAAAAAGTTGACTGGGCTGCGCATTCTTTTCACTGTTGGTTCCCAAGTGACGGCCGTCTTGTGCTGGGCAATGAGTGGCTGGGGGGCTTATGCCGAAATGTTGCCGTGGCCTTAGCTTTCTCCTTTTTTGCCCCGGAACCGGAATTGTTGTATCTTTCCCTTAGAGGAGAAATAAAGGTAAGCAATTTATACTATGTAAAATGGGGAAGGGGATTTTATTCCCTGGGTTTTTTTTTTAATCAAGAGTTAGGAATCTTCCTCCTGGTTTCTACTCCTGGAAAAGGAAAGATGCACTTTTGCAAAACTGCCTTTTCAAACACAATTTCAGGCTTGCCTGCTCAAAAGCAAGCGACCTAGGGTTCAATGGGGCTTATTCTTAAGTAGGTTTGTATAAGCTCCAAACCTCGGAAGAAAGATATATAGATATAGATATAGATATAGATATAGATATAGATATAGATATATAGTGTGTTTATATAATTATTTGTTGGGTTTGAGGCGGTAGGTTTTGATCTCACGCCTAGCCATGCTTGACTGAGCACTTGCGTATTCTTGTTCCAGGCTTCCCTTTTGGTGTATTTTTTAATAGATTGATTCTTCATTAATAGCTGGTTGTGGGTGCAAAGGCGCAGCGCTGGGGAGGTTCCACGTGGAACGAGGGTTGGCTGGAAAGAGGTTGGGTAGAGCTTGGCAGCCGGCCAGGGAAAGAGACGGTTTGGTAATAGCTGAATGAACAGTGCTAAAAACCTTTCGTTGTCAGCGCGTCTGGCTGGGCGCTTTCATGAATACAGAAGCTCCTCTTTATCCCCCTAATTTTAAGAAGAACTTACTGCTTTCGACAACAAAAGGATGTTTCATGCTCAAGTTTCCACCGTGAAGTGCCCTCAAGTTGTCTCGTGGTGACCCCGACATGGACTGCCCCGCTCAGCCCTTGTGAACCCCTCTTTGGCCTCCCTTTCCTCCTCCTGCCTGTGACTTTCCCTCGCATGATGGTCTTCTCAGGAGGGGCCCAAAGCAGGACAGCCTCAGTTTTATGTTAATTGTTAATTGTGTGCTTTGCACCCCTGAAGCAATGCACAAGGACATTTGAAGCACCCCTAACGCTCTGCAATAAGTTTATTGACTCCAGGATCTCACCGAGCTGGGGATACAGGGGATTACCCAGTGGACTTGCAGTGAACCATTAATGCCAAGAACTATGAGCAAGTCATCTAACTGATTTTGGGTGTAAGCTTATACATGTCGAGATGGCAAAAGCCCCTCAACTCCTATTTTGCTCCAGCCAGCATGCTAGTAATTTTGGACTTTTTGTGTCTAAACACGTGTAGGATTGTATCTTTAAAAACCCAGAGGACTGTATCGGTAGGATGGATTGGGGCCCTAACCCAAACCTGTGGGATCTATTTTGTTTCTACTTGAAGCTCCAAAAATATTCCAGCTGGAGCCTGGTATAAAAGTCAAGGATGCTGTGGCCAGGACTGAGTATCAGAACAGAATGGTGCTCAGGGATCTTCCAGACTCGAACCACTAAGGTTGGCCAGTGGTGCCCAACCTTTTGAAAGAGAGTTGTGTGTGCTCCCACCTGGTCTTGCTTATCCACACAAAATACTCATTTCTCAAAATTCAAATTGGTGAGACTCAAAGAAAAGTAACTGGCCCCAGAACTTAGTGCAAGTCAGAGGTATTTCTGTGCTGCCCAAATACTCTTTGCAACCCAAATGAAGGTGATACAGGAAGGCAGCACTTCCCTTTGCATGGCAGCTTCCCAGTGCCAAAAGGATTCATTTTTGCAAAATCTTTCCAGTGCCAGAAAGATTTACTTTTCCAAAAATCTTAACTAAATCAGTAGGGGCAGGAAAGGAGTTTGCATGCTGGTCCAACTGGCTGCTCCAACTGTTTTGGCTGCTCGCAACTGTGCTTGTGACCAAGAGATGTTTGGAAGTGTGTGTGTGTGGGGGGGTGTCCATTAAAAGACAATGGCTCCAAGGAATGGAATGCTTTTAGCAGCACGCATTTCTTATTTCTATTTTATCTCCTTTTTTAATCCCAGGAAAGGCCCAGTTGCTACACCACAGCCTCCTTTAATTCCCCCTTACTGATCCAGAGAAATTGCTACTGTGGGACCAACCAAAAGGAGTAGCTGATGACAAAATGGAAGCCCCGCCAGGAGCCAAAGTGTGGGAAGAGTTGGAGGCAGTGGGGAAAAGCCCCCGAGTCCTGCCTGGAGGACATAGGAGAGGTTTTCTGCAAAGGACACTGGGAAACCAGATTAAAGAAGAACCAGGAGAAGGGTTTCATCAGCTGTGGGAAGCCCAGTTGCAGGAGTTCCTGAAGACTCTGGAGTCTCCACATTCTGGGTTGGGAACCACGGAGTTGCCAGAGCCGCCGAAGCCATGGGGAGACGCTCAGGCCTTCCTGGTCTCCTTCGAGCAGGTGGCTGAGGCCTGCCGGTGGCCCAAGGAAGAGTGGGCGGCCCGGCTCCTGCCTGCCCTGAGCGGAGAAGCGGAGCGGGCCTTTCACCGGCTGGAGGCCCAAGACAGGGAGGATTATGGGAAGGTGAAGGCGGCCATCTTGCGAGGAGATGCCCTGAGCCGGGAGAAGCAGCGGCAGCACTTCCGGCATTTCTGCTACCAGGAGGCCGCGGGGCCGCGGGGGGCGTATAGCCAGCTGCGGGAACGTTGCTGTCGCTGGCTCAAAGTGGAGAAGCACAGCAAGGAGCAGATCCTGGAGCTGCTGGTTCTGGAGCAGCTGCTGACCATCCTGCCTCTGGAGGTCCAGACCTGGGTGAGGGAAGTCGGGCCCGAGACCTGTTCCCAGGCGGTGGCCCTGGCTGAGGACTTCCTGCTGAGGCAGCAGGAGGCCGAGAGGCAGAAGTCACAGGTGAGTCGCTGGTGCTCTGAGGGAAGCCTTGCATTAGAGGTTCTCTTTCAGGGAAGAGAAGTCTCCCTCTATTTTAAGTGTCCCTAAAAATGCTATAATGGATGAGCCAAGATGTTTTTGCAGAGGGACAAGTTGTCTGGGTTCTCTGCAGAGCACTTAATACGGTTTTTTTGCTCTGCCAAACAATGCTCATACATACCTAGAGGAAACAGGTGGCTAAGCTGCTCTAACCCTGCAAAAGGGACACCATTTTGTTTTGCTTAGCTTCCAGCGTAGCCCACCTGTCATTTCCACACGCAAGGAACCCAAGGTTTCTATGTCCCTGCTCCATTTTATCCTCACAACATGCCTGTGAGGTAGGCTAGGCAGAGAGTCCATGACTGGCCCAAAGGCACCCAGTGACCTTCATGGCCACGTGGGGGACAAGGAACCTGCATCCCAGGCTCTCTGCTGTTTGTTTACTAAACGTGCGGCACACAAATAGGCAAAAACTGTTCCTTGTTGATCTGAGCACCAGCATATTTTCTATAAAAGTCACGTTGCTGTAATTCCATCCCTCCACCAGATACATAGAAACACTGAACTGTTCATTTGGTGGGGATCTTTGGAGGACTTCTTGTCTAGCCCCTTGTTCAAGCAATAATAATGCTTCCCAATCTCTACTCACTTTTGTCCAAAATTTGATTCCCTGAAACATCTCCTAACTGATTCCGGTCCTGCCCTCCCATGCAAGAGGAATCTTTCTGCTCCTGTTTGTAGACGGCAACCAAGCTAGATGCTCTGTGTGAATAACTGGTATGGTACAGGATTGGGCAGCTCCTGGGCGCCCCGTGTTGTTTTGGTCGAGAATCCCACCAGCCCTAACCGGAATAGCCATGGGTGTTGTGGCCTGCCAGATATTTTGGACTCCAAGTTTCCCACCCAAAGCACTCAGCTTCTTGGTCCTGTCTGGTTCATCCAGCTAAATAGAATTGCGACTGCCGTTTCAGGTTCTGATTCCGCTGGGGGCTGACGCGGCTGTGAGCAACTCCGAGGCCAAGCAGCCACTGTCTGACACCGGATGGACCCCATTCAGTGGAGACACCAGACCGGAAAGACAACAGGCTCCTCAGCTGCTGGGTAGGGATTTTGTTCATGCTCAGGTGCTCAAAAATGCCTGGGCTGACCTCTCTCTCTCTCTCTCTCTCTCTCTCCCCCCCCTCCCTCTCTCCCTCTCTCCCTCTCTCTCTCTCTGACAGTGCAAATGTGAAAGCAGGTGTTAGTAGACAACATTCAGACATATTTCTTGAAACCTGCAGACGTGCCTTCTCCATTCTTCTTGTTAAAACATTTCCTACCGGCAGCTGGGATTGCCTCGGCCTCTGAGAGTTCTTCTTTCACATGAATGCATCTGGGCTACACACCCAGCTCAGAAGCATCCTAGAAAATGAAGATGGAAGCCGAGTGTGGGCTGGCGCTTCCATCTGCATAACGACCATTTTGTGACAGTGCCCAGGAGAGTGTCTCAGACTGGCGGATGTTCCCATGGGCTTGTCCTTACATTAAACCAAGCAAAAGAATGAAAACAGTGCAGAATATGCCCATCTTAAAACCAGCAGCAAGGAATAAAACTGTCATCCGATTAAATTAAACCCTGTAGCTGAACAGAGTGCTAGAAGCATTCACAACAACACTCAGAGCAGTTCTTAAAATGGGTGGCAGGGAAAGACTATGCCATAGGCACCAGTTCTCCTTATCGGTTTTATCCAGCTTCCCTCTGGAACATGGAACGCTGCTTTCTGGCCCCATTTATGGGGAGCTCGTGGGCTGTGTGTCCCCGCTGGCTGTGCTCAGTGTGCCCTGCGAAGACCTGGGGTGCTCCCCTCACTTTTCCCCGCTGTGCAGCTGATCGGTCATCAGTAGTCAGAGGGGAAACGGAGTGCTGTTCCCCCGCAGCGAAGAGCAGTGGGAACAGCGGTCCTGAGCAGAATTGCCAAGCGCAAGGGGAGCCTGGTTCAGTGGGAGCAGTGCCTGATCCTGCCTAATCTTGGAAGCTAAGCAAGGCCAGGCGTGGTTGGAATCTGGAGGGGATACTTGAGTCCTGCCTTGAGCATGTGGTTGGATCAGATGGGCTGATAGGCCACATCCAAGTGTATGATTCTACGATTCATTTGCGTTTCCCCTTTTTTATTCTATTTTTATCCCATCCAGCCTCCAGAGAGCACCAGGAGTAAATTATTTCTACAGGAAGTTATGCATTTGTTACCTTGATGTGCCCCACTTTTCCCCCTTGCAAGGAAAACAAGGCAGTTCCCACAGCCTCCCTCCTTTCCATTATAACTTCACAACAGCCCTGCAAGGTAGATTAGGCTCAGAGTCTGTGCCTGATCCAAAGCCAGCCCGTGAGCTTTGTGGCCAAGCAGGGATTAGAACCTGCATTTCCTGAGTCCTAACCAAGCTGTTCACTGCCGTGCCGACCTGGCTATCAATGTACCAAGCAAATTAATTGAATGGATTTCTTTGTCATCTTTCCTTAATTCTAGATTCCCCTTCCCCAGGAGAATAACCTGCACTTCTTTTCCCCTTGCAGCAAAAAGGTGGTCGGAGGGGTGTGAGGAGGGAAAATATGCCCCAGAGGTGGGTCCACACAGAAGATCTGTGGGGAAAGCAGAAGAGAACATTCCCCAGGACCATGTGCCAGAAGTGGTCTCTGGGAATGAGCCCAGACTAGGGGACCAGCGGGAAGCCTGTCCGGAGGAGATCAACCGGGAAACCTTTCCTTGTGGAAACACTGGTGTGGAAATCCCCATCTACCCACAAACCCTTGCAGGTGAGGTGTGCAGCTTTCCTCGGAAACATTCTGTGGGAACCCGGCTGTGGTGAAACCCAAGGGAATCTGGGCACCACTGGGATGTCTTTAGAGGAGCCAGGACCGGCCCTGGTGTTAGGCAGAGTGAGGTGGTCCAGGCAGCAGATGCTGGGGGTGGCAAAAGGGGGTTGGAGGACACACCTGTGTGCCGTGCTTGGCATCTCCCAGCCTGCAGGTGCAGTGAAGGATGCCATCCGTGCTGACGTCCGTGTCGTCTCAAGCAGCCAAACGTTTTGGGCAGGGGCCAGTTCGCCGAGGCTGCAGTGGAAGATAGTCCTGGGGGCGGCTACTAGCCACCATGGCCTGATGCAGCAGAGAGGCAGAAACCCAGTCCTGTGGACCTGGCACGGCCTCCCTGTGCTCCCAGTTTGGGGTCCCAGAGTTCCCCAGAGGTCACTCCCTTTTTTCCCAGATCATTTGGAGACTTCTCTTTCCTCATTCCCCAAGTTTTTCTTTGCTCATTCCGCGAGGTTGAAATGCCACTTTGAATGCTTCCTTAGTGGCAGAGAAAGCTTTGGGACTTTTTTAAAGCTAAAACATGTGGGTTTTTAAAATCTATTTTGGCCTTGTCCCTTTTGTCTCTGGCCCTGTCCTCTTTTGTCTTCAGCCCCACTTACAATGGAAATGCAGATCCCAGAGCTTTTCGGGGATTAAATTGGACATTTGGGCAGAAGGAGCTCCAGCTGGGTTCATGGAGCTCCAGACTGTGCAGGCAGCAGCGAGAATAGGCGGTTGTCTTGAAGAAGCAAATCAGGAAGCTCCCGATTCTAGTCCTACCTCTGCCATGAGCTCAGCCTCAGTCTTCCCACCTGCAGTATGGGCAGATCATAATACTGGTTTTGAGGCTTATTGTGAGGATGCATGTGGAGAACTTTCGGCTCTTGAAGCACAGTGCCAATGTGAACTCTCACAGGAGTTGCAGCTATTGATTGATTGATTGCTTTTATAAACCATCCCATTACTAGCCTCTCAGGACAGTTTGCAACAAGCACAGATCAAAATGGCACAGCATCCGGCAATTCACAATAAAATCACAATTAAAACCAGTTAAACATTAAAATGACGGGAGAATAAAAGGGGAGAATTATATTTCTATCTTGATGTTTTCCCTGCAAGAAACCTGAGGCATCTTATAAAATTCTCAAACGGCTCTTCATTTTATCTTCGCAACATCCCTGTGAGATAGGCTAATCTGAGAGTCCGTGACTCGCACAGGTCACCCAGCGAGCTTTATCCAGATGCGTGAGACATCCCACATGTTGAAGCTAAGCAGGTCCAGGACTGGACTGCGCTTGGAGGGGAGACCACCAGGGAACTCCATGTAGCCACCTTGAGTTCCACAGTGGAGAATGGTGGGCTGTGAACATAATAAATAAATAGTAACTAGTGTATGTTTATTTATTTGGGACCTTTTCACAAGAATCTGGATGGCACGATGTTGGCTTGTTAGAGGCATTGGGCTGGGATTCGGGAAATCTGCGCTCCAGTCCTTTGATAACCCTAACCCACTTCACTGGGTGGCTTTGGACCAGTCATGGACTCTCAGCGTAGCCTGCCTCATAGAGTTCTTGTTGTGGGGATAAACTAGAGAGGAAGAGAGCATTGGGAGCGGCCCTGGATTACTTGCAAGGCAAAGAAAAATGGGGTATAAATACAAGGGGTCTTCAAAATTTTCCGCACTTTTATATTTTTTTGCCAATGGCATTAAAAAGTTGGTACGACGCTGGGAAAAGCGCATCGCAAAGGAAGGTGACTGTGTAGAAAAGTGATGTTTTTGAAAATTTTAATAAATATTTTAAAAAGTGCGGATACTTTTTGAAGAACCCTCATTGAAGAACCCTTGTAAAATCATAGTAGGTGGGCCTTGGGTGCCATCCATAACGCTCCTCTGACATGCTTATGAATTTGGCCACCTTTATTATTATTGTTTCTTATCTATACCACCCAGTAGACAAAACTCTCTGAGCGGTTCTTGGCATTGCACAAAAACACAGAGTACCAGTCCGATAACATACTGCATATGATGTTCTCAATATATACCAGGTTGAAAACAATATGATGGGTAAAGCAATTGTGAGCCGTCCAGAGACTAAAGTGATGGATTTATTATTTATTTATTAAAACATTTCTGTGCCGCCCCTTGCCGAAGCCTCGGGGCGGCTTACAACACAATACAATACATTGAAATACAAAAATAACAATATAAAATTAACAATATAAAATAAATAACAATGTAAAAGATGGGCTAGAAATATCCTAAATAATACATACATACAAACAATCTCTCTGTGAATCGGACCTGTTGAAAACAGTTCACCTAAATGCCATATTTTGCCCTGAAATGACTGGGGGAGGCAGCTAGCCCTAACCTGGTGCCCAGAAGATGGCCTATAAGAACACGAGAACAGCCCTGCTGGGTCAGACCAGGGGGCCATCCAGTCCAGCGCTCAGTACACACGGTGGCAAACCAGCTGCCCCCAGGATCCCTCCAGCAGGAGGGGTGCAGGACCCCCTTCTGCCCAGCTCCTCAGCAACTGGCGTGTGCAGGCAGGCCGCCCCTGGTGAAGGAGGGCACACTTGGCCAGCAGGGCTAGTAGCCACGGAGAGCCCCCTCCTCCTCCATGAATCTGTCCAGTCCCCCTTCAAAGCCACCCAGATTGGCAGCCATCACCACTTCCTGTGGCAGCCAGTTCCATAGTTTAACCACACACTGGGTGAAGAAGGCCTTCCTTTTATCTGTCCTAAATTTCCCACCCATCAGTGTCCTGGGATGACCTCTTTGGAGTCGACAAAAAGGTCTCCCTTTCCACTTTTCTGTACAAGGCACAGGAAACCTGCCAGGAAGGACAAGATGGCAATCGGACTCAGCAGAGGATGTTCTTGCCGATCACACGCATGGTGCCCTTCTGGCCAGTTTCCTGCTAGATTCTGAACCTTTCATTCCATCTAGTCCAGCATTGTGAACACACGGTGGCAAACCAGGTTCCCACAGGAAGACCCCCTCCAGCAGATGGGGGCGAGACCTGCCCAGCTCCTCAGCAACAGGTGTGTGCAGGTGAGCCGCCCCTGCTGAAGGAAGGAGCATGTGGCCAGCAGGGCTAGTAGCCACGGAGAGCCCCCTCCTCCTCTATGAATCCGTCCAGTCCGCCTTCAAAGCCACCCAGATTGGCAGCCAACACCACTTCCTGTGGCAGCCAGTTCCACAGTTTAACCACACACTGGGTGAAGAAGGCCTTCCTTTTATCTGTCCTAAACCTCCCACCCATCAGCTTCATTAATCAGTCAGCACCAGGCAAGCCTCTCTCAGCTGAGAGTTTTTCTTTTTCATACAGTTGCTAAATGCAGGCCCAAGCAAGTTTCGCCCTCGCCTTGGCGTCCTTAGGAAAGAAAGAGAATAAATAGATTGACAGAATTTTAACTCAGCTGGAGAGTGATGAGGAAGGCTGTGGAAGGAAGGAGAGCAAGTTTAGATACGTGCCCTTTTTTGTGTAATGGTGTGTATTTTCATGACCTCTGGAAGATCTGGGTGTCAGAAATGAGAGAGAGAAAATATTGGCATGTAGACTCGAGCTAACGGAAGGCTGCTTGGTGGATTTACCCCGATATGCATTTGCCGCAGGCTGCAGCCAAGTGAGCGAGCACAAAGAGTATAACCCACCGGAAGGTCCAGAGGTGAGGCGGTACAGGGGGTATCCAGGGACGCACAGGAGAATCCACGTCAGGGAGATGCCCTTTCACTGTGCCGAATGCGGCAAGAATTTCAGCCGCAAGCACCACCTCATGCGCCATCAGCTGATCCACACCGGGGAGAAGCCGTTCAAGTGCTCTGCGTGCGGCAAGACCTTCGTTCAGATTTCGGACCTTACGCGGCACGAGAGGACGCACACGGGGGAAAAGCCTTACCGGTGCACAGCTTGCGGGAAAAGCTTCAGCCGCAAGTCCGTCCTCCTCGCCCACCTGATGGCGCACACGGGGGAAAAGCCGTACACGTGTCTGCTGTGCGGGAAACGGTTCCGCTCTCGCCAAGGCCTCATCCATCACAAAACGCTCCACGCCAGGGAGAAAGCGTATAAATGCGCTTACTGCACCGAGGCCTTCAGCCTGCGGCCCCAGCTTATTCTCCATGAGCGGATGCATGCAGGAGAGAAGCCGTATCGGTGCACGACTTGTGGGAAGAGCTTCAGCAATAGCACAATTCTGACTAAGCACGAAATGAGTCATGCGGGGACAAACCGTGTCAGCAAGGGGTGCTGAATGCCAACTCTAGTGCTGAATTCCCTCTGAATTCAGGGAAGTCATTAACGGACAGATTCCAGGAGTGGAGAGGGCAGAAATATCCTCCAGTTTTAACTTAAAGCTCTTACTGCCAGTAACTAAGTCTTAGGAGGTGCATTTGCAACTTTTAGAATGGAGGGAAGCCACAAAGAGTTGTGTGGGTTGGTGTGGCCATCTGCAACCCAAGGTGGTCAAAAATGGCGCGCACGACTGCGTGGCTTGCTTGGTTTTCTCAACTTGCTTACTGTGGTCTGCCCCTGCAGCAGAACAAGGCGCTTGAATTTTTTAAAAACATTTAGGGAAGTTTTAGGGGGAAAGTAATGTATTTTAGTTCCTAGAAAGGTGCGGTTGATGGGGATTTGAGTTAGGATGTTTCTGTAGTAGCAGGCCCAGTTGTGGGATTCCCTTCTTAGGAAGGCTAAGTTGGTTTGTTCAGTGTTTACTTAAGACTGGGGGTCCCTATTTGGGAAACTGCTGTTTCAACACCATAGATGCCTAAGGGAGTTGCTACTTTGGCATCAGCCTTTTCCCTTGTGGAACATAGGCTGTGTCTTTTTAAACAAGAGTGTGTTCCACCTTTGTTGGACATTTAATAAGGGACTATCTAACTTAGCTAATCGCTGGCAATGCAATACAGCTAAAGCTTCTTTTGAACGTATGATTTAGCAATATGCAGGAGTCGCTTCTTTCGCAGAGAAAGCTGCTAAATTTTGTATTGGAACAGACTTTAATACTGACGAATTTACCTGCTCTTATAAATTATTTACCTGTCTTCTGGAAATTGAAAGATGGAAGGGGAAATGGATTCTTCGTGCCACTTTGACAAGTAAAGGCGGACTTTATAAAACTTCCAATCATGTACTCGATTGGGGAGCTAACAATGTTTTCAGCTTGTGAACAGGTGGTGTATAGACGCCAACTTCAAATGGATGCTTAATTTGAATAAGTGGATCACTTTTGTTGAAGCTGTGAATAATTGCTACAAAATTGTATGCATTTCATAGACAGCCATGTATTTATATTTTAAAAATGTGAAAATTAAAAAATTGGGTGACTGAGATGCCATGTTGAGACTGTTGCATTAGATGGTTAAAAACCATTGTGCCAGCAACCTTTAAAGTGATGGACGTCACTTTTTCATTGGCGCGTCTTCCCTACTTTGTTGTATGTTTTGGCTTGCTTGGAACAATTGTCTTTATTGTGTTTTACACTGTAATTGTAAATTGTCTGGAGTGCTCACTGAGTGGAGGGGAGTCTCAGAAATACACTAAAGAAATAAAAAATAAAGACAACCAAGAAGGGTGGCACCATGCTGCTCCAGCACTGAATTTTCCACCACGCCAGAAAGGTGCTTCTACTTGAAAAGGTCCATGCTTCCCGTTGCCTCATTTTGCCCCCAAATTTCACCACTAACTGGCCGCAGTGGCTTTTGGCCACCAGAAATGGCCAGGGAGCCACTCATGACCCTGGTTCGGGAACCCTCCTGCCCTATCAGTAAAGGAAACCTCTTTGGCTGGGTGGCTGTTTGTTCCCAGGGAGGAAATTTCAAGAGGAAAAGAAACGCTGTGTTTGTGGAAAAGAAAGGTGATTTCTCAGCATGGCTGCTCCACAAACCTTGGCAAGCAAGCCACTTTGAATAGTATAATACCCTGTACATCAGGTACCCAGCTTTTCTTTAATGCATTAGAGACTTGTGTTTTTTCTGCTCTTTTGTCTGAGATACCTTTGCTTCTTGGAAATGAACCAGAAGGTCTTTATGCAAAGAACAGCTTTTTTCATCCTACTCTCCTCTGTTTCTGTCAGAACAGTGCAAGATGTGGCAGAAAGTATTTCAAAAGGTTTGTGGCTTTGAGATATTCTGGTGGGACAATCCTGAACTCGAATCAGGGCTAAAAAATACTTTTAATGGCAAATCTTCGCCTTGGAAGTTTCTTTGAGGTCATCTAGGCCAATCCCTACAAGGAAGGCTTTGGACTCCAGCTTCTCTGAAAGGTGGTAGCCCAACAGCTGATTATGGATGTCCAGCAGAGGCGAATCCGTCACTTTCTGGGACCATCTCTTCCCTTGTGGAGCAGCTCTGACTGCTTGGAATTTTTTTCCGATGGTTGCTTCTGCTGAGGACAGCAAAAAGTCCCCTGGTTCATTGTATGACTGGGAGAGAGGCAGGCAATACCAGCAAGAAATTTTATATAAAAAAGACTCTTTTAGGTGCACGCTAACAATATAGAGTGAGCCCAGCTCCTGTCAGCACCAGATGCTGCAGTCCTTACACACAGCAAAATTTATACATTTAGCTTTTTGCAATAATTAGTAATAGAAAACATCACAGCAGAAAACATTCAGTTACTTTTGTACATGGTTATCTTGGCCAATGCTTTTTAGGACATCTGGCATCAAAACAACTGCCTCCTGGCTTATCTTTTCAAATTCTGACCTGGGTACAGGTAAGTTTATTTTCCTCGTTGGCTACATCCAGCAGCTGTCAAATGTGACTCAAAGAAGGGATGGCATATGTGGATTTGAAACTGGATCTCCAGGGTCTTTGTCTGCTGCTAATATACCTCACTATTCCTTGTGGTGCATAAAAAACTGTATTGGTGAATTGCTAGTCAAGGTTTGGACAGCTCTAGCGGAAAAATTTGCAAATGGTTTCTAAGCCCATTTGTCTTAAATTTGACTTGCCTTAAATTTCATGGCAATTCTCCAGTTTACTTTGCAAATGGGCTTAGAAACCATTGCAAAACTGGAGAGGGAGGACTGAATTCAGGTGTGCACCAGGTTTCATGTGGGGGGGGCAGTTTGAGAGCAAAGGGGACATGGCTAAAATGCAAACAATAACAGCATATTGTGGCTTAAAGCTCCTTCTGATAGCACAGTGAAGTGAACAGTCTTTCTATGCTTGATATGAGGTATTGCAACTTCTGAGATGGGAAGATAACTGCACACCTGCCAGGGAAATGATCGAATGTTCTGTGGTTTGGAGAAAGGCAAACAGCCTGGGAAAGCAGGTGGACCTGCTGACATTGGAATCTCAGAAGGGCTGGATGACCAAAATCATATAGCATTGTAACCATGAATGACCCATCCAAGGTGGGGCCCCAGGAAGAAGGCAGGGCCAGCTGGAGAGGTCTGGGGGGCTGCATGGGGCCCACGGAGGGACTGATGCGTCCCGTAGGTCCTCAGCTCCATGCCCCTGCCCTGCCCTCCAGCCTGAAAGCTCCTGTGGGCGTGCATCACCCACTTGGAGAACTCGCCACCATCGGATGGCTGGTTCCCTGGATGTCGTTAGACCACAGGCTCCACAGTCCCTGGTTGTTGACTGTTCTGGCTGGGACTGATGGGGGTTGGAGTCCCACATCACAGGCTGCCCACCCCTGATTTGCGGAACGTGGGTATCCTTCCCCCAAAGAGCTCAGGCCGCAGCTGCTGGCTCCCACCCCCTTTTATCTCACAACAATCCTGTGAGGTAGGCTGTTTCAGCAGATGTGACTTCTTGGAACGGACTCGGTGGGGCTCGTGGCTGAGCAGAGACTGAAACTCAGATTTCCCCGGCATTAGCCCATCATCGTTATGGAAAGCTCCACGGTTTTCCCCCTCTGTTGGGGGGAATGTAGGATCCTGGATGGTTTTTGCATGTTTCCGAGGCTGCTTGGGCCTCGGAGAGGGAGGGAAATGCCTCGGACCCTTTGGGGAGGGCGGAAGCAGGCGGCCTCGGTGTGCGCAGCGGGAGGGGCTCCCACCAGTGCCCAGCGCTCCTGCTGCCGCCCCCCCCCCCGGAGGACCCCTTTCCCCGCCCCAGGCAGCCCGTT